AATTACACACTTTACTAAGGTTTATCCACTAAATCCATTTTTTTCGGTATACTTGTTACCTCCATTTCTTTAGCCTTGTAATGCTCGATTTTCGTACAGATGAGGAGGACGAATTTGTTGTGCCTCACATGGAAATCTCCTGCCTACGAAATTCGTTTGCGTATCTTACTGCACTGGGAGATCCATTCGGGTGTATTTACAACTTTGATGATTTGGATCTCAAAACGCAGGTGTCAGCTGCAGAGGAATTGGACGCTGAAGCACAACAAGTTCAAGACCGTTTGATCCGGAATTATCACTATTGGTGGCCGAATCCGCCTCAATTGCCAATGTCTCAGACTCAGACTCCAATCCCTCCGTCTCAACAACAACAACAACAACAACAAGAACAACAGCAAGAACAAGAACAAGAAAAAGAACAACAACAACAACAACAACAACAACAACAACAACAACAACAACAACAACCGGAACCAAAAAGTGACAGGTGGTTTGTTTGGTCAAGCATCCGTTTGCTTGAGCCCATTTTACTCTTCTCTAAGAAACTTGTGCTTACCCTTTTAGGCCACCCACGAGTCAAAATGGTGCAGCATAATTGTTGTGTGCGATTTCATATATTCGTATAATTTTACTCTTTTAAATTAACTGCTTAGTCAGGACGCTATTATTTCTCAGCAAGAATTAAATGTGTACCTCAATTCTCCGTACCACTTAATGTGCCATCCTATTTCGTCAACTCTGTGCCGATCCATTGTCTCGACCGCAGCAAGTTTGAAGTACTCGTATGGTGGGAAGTTTTGTGGTCCTGTCTCGATGGTGTTGCGCTGCAGCTTCTTTTGTCCGTTTGCATTTCTTTTAAACCTTAAAAACCACAACCAGATAGACAATCCGAATCTCAGCGAGTCACTTTTTTACAGATTTCAGTCTTTTATTCGCGCGTTTAATTATTTTATTGGCATTGAAGCTATTTTTGAACTTTAACCTCGCATATCTGTCTTCCTTTTTATTAATAAAAACTAAATGTTGCTTACAAATTTCTGAAAGTCGGCTTCTAGCTTAAGGCGGGTGCGAGATGGATTCTCAGGACAACCATTGAGGTGTGTAGACTGTGGACGTGTGAGTTGTCTGTCCTTTGGCGGTCTCGTCTGGATTAATTTTACATTGTTTCGATGGTCGTTGAGGTGTGCATGCCGAAGACGTGGAAGAATGCTAAAGTAGTTTTGAAAATCACTTTTAGAAGGAGACATCCCTTCAGATTTGTGTGGACTGGCCTTCTTATGAAAAGTCGGTTTGTTTTGGCTGCTTAATCATGCCATCTTCATTGCAATTTCGCCATCAACTTGGCCGCAAGGGTGGATGGATGTTGCTTGCTTAACATGCGATATGCAGTTTTCCAGCTGGGCCTCACTTCAAGTTCGACCATAAGTTGGGCGCATGTCGGTAATGCATCCAGATTTACTCTTTGGATTACCGATTCGTCGCTACTTTTCACACTACTCGGATTTTGAATGTGCTTTGACAACAATTGTTCACTTGCAGGCCTTTAGACCAGCAAAAATGGTTCAAACACCAGAAGGCTCATGTAAATGCATGTTTGTCGCATTAATGCAGGTTTGCTAACTTCACAGAGCAGCTGAAGCCACACCAACAGCGCATCACTGACGGTGACGGAAATGCTTCAGCAACTTACCGAACAAAGAATCACGTCCAACTCTTGTGTAAGTCATTGAACTTCTTTGTGTCTACTCCAACAATTAAAATGAGGCAGCACAATAAAATGGATTGCAACTAAATTTCTCAAATTAAGCCAAAATTCCTTTCAACATGTGCCTTTGGTGGAGGTCAGCCGGTAGGTAGAAAAAGTTCAGTTTCTTCCTCCTTAGCACAAAGTGGATTGTTAATCTTTAAATGGAGTTTAGACGTCTTAGACGAACACGAAGATCGTTGATAGCAAATCGAACACGCTCCATCAACTTATGTAGACAGTTGTATGCTTTTCTGCTGTTGTCTAAATGTTAATTTACTCAACCAGAGGGGCTACTTAAATTGCTAGCGTGAAGGAAAGTGCGACTTAATAAACAGCAGGTTTCACTAGACCTGTCTCGTGTGAGGCTCAGTGTTTCTCTCATTCTGTCGAGCCGCGATGAAGGGACTTCTTATGTAATCAAGGCCACAGCAGATCACATATGTCCAAATCGTACCAACTCAGTTGGACCTGACTCCTCCACAGCAGTAATTTCCATGGCAGAAGTTGTGAGCCTGGCAGGTGTAGACTCCAGCATGAAAAGGCCAAGTGAATGTCAATGGTTAGATCTCATGGGAGATAAAGATCGGATGAAGATTTTTATAGCTTTACATAATTAATAAACTAAACTCTTTGTACTGCTTTGTTAGTTAAGCAATTTCTATTCAATTTTTTTTGGTTAAGTAATTTTCAGAGCAGTCATGGATGGCACATTTTGCATTCTAGTTGTAGATGTGGACAAAATGGGCATACTAATCCTCACTTTGACACATTTTTTTAATTACTTGATCAGAGATCACACGAGATCCTCTGCAAATCCACTTCTGTGATACGTTCTATGGCGTTAAGATTCAGTTTGTTCAAGTTGTTCGTCTGGCCGCAGTGGTGAGACACCCTTACTTGTGCCATGCAGTACTTTAAAGTAATGCCCCGCAAAACTAAGGATGTGGTTTCAAGAATCGCCCACCTTACTGATACGATTGCTGTTTAAGGTAGTCGAGCAGAGGTAAATCTGAAACTCGCCTCTCCATTTCCGCATTGGGGGAAAACAAAAGTAAAGCGATTTGGCTATCATTCACAAATTGTGATTGAAGCGCTGTAGAGGAGTTAGCACGGACTCACATCTGAATGGTGAGACTCCACAGATCTCAGCAATTTGTCCACCAAAGTAGGCATGTCCTAATGGCATTCACTTCAGATTGACCAAAGTTGACTCCTTTGTCTGATGAAAGTGGTGTTGGTTTATTTTAAACCATCCTTGAGCGGCCTATCACATAGTTGGGTTGACGTGGAGCATTTGATTTGCCCTACTTTTGACAACGTTTGAAAGCTTTATGTTCCAGTGTCACACATCGTCTAATTAAAAACCCCTTTGTTGACCGGTCTTCCTGCAAATCCCAAATCAGTTGATTTCACAAGCAATGGCCTTTAGTTGCACCATCACCACATCACAGCACATCGTAAGTGATAACGCAATGGAGATGTCTTTGAAGCTTAAAGTGCCAAATCGCATCTTCATTTTTACACAAAAAAGTACGAAGAATTGTAAAATAAATGTCCATAGACACCATCAAAGCGGTATGAAGAGTCATCCAAAAGTGATCGGCTTACACAAGCTCTTTTGAACTCTGCAGGAGGGGAACTGCCGTAGACATCAGAGTGCCTTCGTCATGATGTGTTGATCGCGTAGCTGTGAGTTCCTGGCGGATCACGGCTTTGCAGGAGTGAAGCAAAACCTCATAGGTATTTGCTTTTAATGCAAAGAGGAGGTCGAAGCACAAAACTGCTAGTTTACTGTCAAAATTGACACTAAAATTGTGCAGATGTGTTGACGTCCCAATTTTGAAGAGTCTCTGCATCATCATTCCTAGGCTGGAGGGCGTCTTTTTACGGCGCTAATGCCATCTCAACCAGGCATGCGTTTCCGCCAACCCTTCAATTTTACCTCTTCCATCTACTTCTTTGTAAAAGCATTTACAAAGGGACTAATACAATCTTTTCAAAGAATTTTGACTCCCTTAACCTAAAACAAAGGCCTAATAACACAAACTTCCTCACATTGTCCTCTTGTTGGTGTTAACTCCTGGTGTTCTGTGTCTGCAACCAGACGCAATGCGATCTAGAAACTTTTATTTAAACATTACCTCTTGAGGTTACACGAACACAGCGACTAATCCTCCATGTAAATTGACTAGAAGGAATTCTTTTAAGTGGCATTTCACAAATGACCAAGATAGATGTCAAAGAATCATTCAATAACTGCGTCAGCATCACTTGCTTCTTCCTCAATTCCATCAGTAAGGCAGGAAAAGGTGAAGTGAGCAAGGTGTGGTGAAAAGACATGGCTCTTCCATCCTTAACATTTAAGGTTGTAAAGCCTTTGCTTTTTGTTTAAAAAAGGAATTCGGAACAAAGCGGCTCAGAATGGATTGTTTGGATCGAGGGAGTGGGGGGGGTGGTTGAAGGACATCTTCAAACACATACACCAAAAGTTACAATCGCTTCAGATGCAATCCTTCTCCACAGCTTTTGTCACACTAAGAGCTTGGAATTGGGACATTCTCATCCATCTTGTTGTATTTAATATCCTGGTCATGTCATCTTAAGGAAGGTCACCAAAGTAGATAAACAGATTAAATGGTGGTCGTGGGGGTGGCATCATCATCCAAATCACCCCTCAAGGCATGCGTTGTGTGAGGTTAGTCGTTCTTCCCTTTCTCTCCCCTCCGCCGCGGAGACACGAAATGAGTTGCCACACAGCTGCGACATGTCTGTGTGGGGGTCAAATCTAACACTGAGTCATTTGACCCTTCCAGTGACCTGTATGCAAATTTTCGTCTAATTCAGTTCGCCAAACTAGAGGAGTGATGCGCCCACTATTATGCTGTTTTAAATGTTGGAAGGTGCTACTCTACTTTCATTAATTCATAAGCTTCTTTGATGTGGTAGTCGAGACATGCAGGTGATGACATAGTTAATGCATGAGAGCAGTTTTTGATAGGCAGTAAAGTAATCTACGGGTGCAATTGGAGGAAATGTCCGAGATAGAGACAGTAGACTAGCAGGGTAATGGTATGGTCAGTTTGATAAAGCCAAATCTCTGGGCAATCTTTCAAATTCCCTTTCCATGACTATTGTTGGGCACATCTAAATCAGATACACAAGCTAAGCGAGGCTGCCCTCATGAAATGGCTTTGAGATAACAGAAATGTATAATCCTATCAAAATCAGGCAATTTTGCGATGCTGCCTCATCTGTGCATGCATTGCGTGGCAGATCGTGCAATGACAACCTGAATTGCTTTGCCAAAATCTTTTACTTCAGTAAGCAAAACTGAAAACTACGCCAAAATTGAAGTAGTGGTGAAATATGAAAACTCCAAATCGTCAGACATTTGTATCAATACATGAGAATGAGGGGCTCTGACCTACAGGAGCAATCCGTTCCACCTGCTTTGGATCGACATGGCCATAGAAAGACATTTCAATTTATCAGGTAAATACTACTAAAGGAATGAGCTGAACAGCTAAAAATTAACAATTACAAATAAATAAGGAGAAGTTTTTGTTACGGTTTTTTGCTGCAAAATAAAACCTTTGATTTAGAAGTATGGATTAATACTTTCAATTTTATGTTTGCAATTACATGTTTCACGGCACATTGAGGTAGGAGCAGTATGCGATTTGACATTTCATGGAGGTGGACAAGATTGGACTAGGTCAAAGCAATGTGTCCGCAAGAGGGGAATTGTACCCACGCCGTCGATAATGTCTCATATTTAGCGTATTCCTTTGGGTGACAATCTGACTAAAGCGCGAATAATGCTGAAAATGCAATTGCGCAGTACCGATATCTCTGCCAAAAGATCAGTAAATTTAAGGGCAAAATAAAGACACACATAATGATCCAATGATGCAACACGTTCAGCGACGGCTTGGATCATTGCGAGGCTAGCAAGGTGCAGGCACTTCAAAGTACAACTTGAAACAAGGATAATGCCACATTCTGATAATTACACGACGGTCGGTGAATTGGTAATTTAGCTATACAGCGCTGCACGCATTTTTGTCTTTTTGTGCACACGCGCCTATCTATGCTGCATGGCATCGATGATTGTATTCACGAATGCAGTGCACAGCCTCGAACTGACTGAATAGTTTCTTCAGATGCCGATGATGGCAATGTTGGCAGGTGGATGGCATGGGTGCAAGACAATCGGTAGGATGTGCAATGGAGCGAGAAAAGGGGGTGGGGCAATGTTGGGGTTACGCTCGAGGTCGCACCGACAGGTGAATGTGGGATGGAAAGAATGACGAAAATGTGGATGATGATGATGATAAGGTAGTAGAGCACAAACCAGGGCACTGGTGGGATAGAACGTGCATACACAGGGAAAGTAGATGAAGAGGATTGCACCTGCATGGAGGCGATGAAAGAGGCTAACTGACGGAAAGGCGTGAGGGGGCTGTGCTCTGACCATCGGGCAAGGAAATGCGAAATGAGGAGAAGAGGAGGAGGAGGAGGCAGTGAGAAAGGATAGTGTGGCGTACACATGGACGTAATGGTTGGTGTTAGAGGTGTGATGTAGAACTCGACGTGGGCTACCGCGCCATGTGAGCATCATGGGTTGAAACACATCACCTGGTTGGGATGGGCGGTGCCGAAACCTTGAGTGGAGGGCGATCCACACTAAGCGTTGACTTGGGTGCAAATGTTAGCAAAGTCGTTAACTCAGTTGTCAGTACAAGTGAACGAATACGGATGCTAATGGGGTTGAGACATAGACGGAGGTGGTGTGGAACGCGTGAATGTTCTTCAGTCATATCGTGATGTCGTCACCACTGTCCTGTCCACGTCCCACTCCTCTATTACTGAGCGAATGCGTCTGCCTCCTGTAAGCATCACCACATCGTCCACATTATCCACGCATTTTCTCTCTGCCTCCTTGGTGGGTAGTGCTTGATGGAGTGGATGTGAGAGCTGGAAGTGGTTGACTGCAATAAACTCGCCAAACCGAATAATTTTAACAATCATTGCAAGGGCAAAGCAACCCGCGAAACAATGTCCCACCACATACACACTGGTTTTGTGCACTACTGCGCACTGCGAACGGTTATTGAAAAAATGATGCCGCGTGTCCTACTATACGAGACGCTGGGAAGCGGTGGTGGGGACCGAAATGTGAGAGCACTTTGGTGCACAATGTGCCCCTCAACGCTTGTCAATGTCAGATGTCAGTGCGCACAATAAAACGTCCTCCATTCTCGCCATCG